ACGTTCAGTGACTGCAAGGGCTTCTTGGAGCTTGTCAACTTGGGTCTTTGTTTCTTGCTCCGCTTCTTCGGACACTTTGAGCTGGTCTTGTTGCTGGTCTTGTACTGGTCCTACAGTGTTGATTGTGCATCAGCTCTTTCAGGAACTCAGTGGTCTTGAAGTCATCCTGGACTTTCACTTCCAGCTTGTCTATGCGGCGTTGGGCACGTGTCAGCTCCTCCTGAAGGTAGGTGAAGTGCTGGTGGCTTAGCTTTAGCTGGGCTGTGAAGGCATTGCTTAAGGAACAGGTTTGGTTAGTTCCACATGGTTTTGGTTCTGGCTTGAATCATGTGTCAGGAATCTTCTCAGAATTATGATTATTATTAAAAATAATAACAGTTCAATTGTCTTTGGTGTGAGGCAGTCTGTAATGCCTCTGAGCCAGGCGTCCACATCTTCCCGTTGGGCAGTGGGGTTTGTAGTCCACGACATGTTGGCACGCTTGGTGAAGAGACTGACACAGATCTGTGTGGTATAAGCCTATATATGGTTGAACGGCTAAGTGTTGTTTCAGTAAGTGTAGACGAATAGTGAAGTGTCGTGAAGTGTTGGTCTAAGTGTACACGGTGAGGCTAGGGATGTGAAGATCTCGTCACTCAACTGGGTAAAGGAAAGAAAAAGAAAGAGGTTAAAACCAATCTCAAATGGAAAAAGCTTTTTTTTCAATGGGAGAAAATATTTTTGTAAATATTTTCTATCACTGGAAAGCTGGTTTCAACTCGTGATGTGAGGACTTCGTATCTCAACTGAGTAAGAAGAGAGAAAAGTTAATAACCAATTAAGAGAAACAAAACAAAAAGGAAATTATTAACTAGGAAAAGTATTAATTTCTCATAAATGTTTCTATCAATGACAAACATAAGAGGTTTTGATTAAAAATCAAATACCTAATAATCTGTTTGTTGGGAAAGATTATCTTTGTCTCCTTTTAGAGTCGATTGATGGTTCTTCCAGGTTCCCTACAATTGTGCAGAATAAGATGGATTAAAGCAGGACAGAACAGGAAAGACGTGATGAGGGAGAAATGAAGCAAGGAGGTTGGATTCCGCTACCTTTAGATCTACTACGAGTATAGAATTGATAGTTGATGAACAGCTAACACACAAATAAACTTTGTAATTCACCTTTGACTTATTCACCTAAAGTGATTAGATCTCAAAGAGAAACCTAAAAATTATGAAAATTATGCAATTAGAATTATTACAAAAATAAATCTAGAAATCATTAGTGTAGAGAATTGAGGCGAATCAAACACAACTTAATCAAATTAACCTCTCATGGGATTAATTCACATGGATTCAACACTCCAGAGGTTCTGGACACCACATTCCAAAGTCCCAAGGCGGCTCCACACTGTCTGCTCCGGTTAAGTAAACCCCCCTCAGAGCAGGACTTTTATTGCCCTGCAGGCCCAAGAGATGGGCACTAAACAGGAAGAACGTGTCAATATGTTAATGTTTTACCAAGACAAATCGGCTCAGAAATGGTGGAACAAGAGGCCTGACCACCAAAAGCCTGACCACCTTTGACCTCCCTCAACATCATCTCTGTTGAGCGGGACAAAGACATAACACAGACCCCTACTCCTTGAACATACCACGATCTCACTGTTGAGATCTCTCTGAGATCTTACGCATAAAATTATATAAACTCACCACAGAACAATTCTTGGACTTATAACCAATCATAATTATTGTTGTTTCTACACTTCATGTGTTAATGCTTAGATCACATATTAATCATGTAATTGTTGTTAACTATTAACTCTTGTAATTGTTGTACAACCATTAGGAGTGTGAATGTGTCGTGCCTCCTATCAAAAGAACCGTATTCTCCTAATTCAAAAGATGGCTTGATTGAAATGCTTTGTTTTATGATTATAATATATAATCTTAAAACTGTGTTCTCTTGTTCTCTGCTAAATGCTGGAGACCAGGCAGCTCACAGACCATCCATAATTTATGATAAGCAGAAGTAGATCCACCTCCTAAAATGATGCCATTGTCTCATTGGCCAGAAGTTTCTGGGAGGTTGGACTAAAGTCTAAGTTAAAGATTTGAACAAAGGACCTCATGTGGGGTTTTTCTGTTAGATTTTTGCTCGTGTTCAGTTTTCTGTTCGACTCATTTGAGTTTGTTCAGTTCTGTAACCGTTAAGTTCGTGCCTCTCTCTAAAACCAGCAAGAGAGTGTTCTGTTCTTGCTTCTCTCTGAAACGAAGACCGTGTGCGCATGCTTCTACATCGACTAGACCAAATTCGACCAGCAGACGAATAACCCATCAAGATCAGGGTTACAATTCAGCTCATTCAAGCCATCCAACTCGCCTTACTTTCATTTCTTTTCTTTATTGTCTTTTTCGTAAGAGTCTCGTTTCAAAGTTAAGTTTGCTGCAAAGCTTCGTTTCAAACGGCTCTCCGCAGCGTGCTTCGAAGCTCTCATTTGCCTGCGCACCACACGTGATCGGCAGCTCCAAACATCCCTCCAGGCACTTCAAAGACAACCAGCCACGAGGACCCGACACCCCCCTTCTACGAAGCAGACAAAGGGAACTCCTAAAGCCACGCATGAACTTGCAAGTAACCCTTCAGACTCTAACTGAACTGGTGCTTTAATGTAAATTGAATAACCTCTCTAAGAAACAAAGGTTTAAATTAACGCTTGGTGGTCCTTTCAGGTCATGTCTTACGTGCATATAGAAAGTTGAAACTTTCTCTCTTACTCTTTCCAACTCACTCTTCCCTCTCCGCGACTGTATGAATGTGTGTGTGATTTTGTTTAGAACTTAGTTTTGTGTTTAGAATAGCTAATAAATCTTCCATATATTTGAAAAGATAATTGCCTTGTGTTGTGTTTGCACATTTAATGTCTTGTACTGTTTGATCTAAAGTTACCTTGCTAAGACATAGTGTTTCACTATAGATTTGGTATTTATATCCTTGCAAAGGTTATAATTACGGCCCGTTCAAATGAATTCTAAACGAGTCATTTGCTCGGTTCAGTGATTCGGTTCCATAGATTCATTGCAAATCAATGAATCATTTCCCTTTGAGCTAAATTGGCCTTTGGCCCCCTTAAATACATTTTATGTATATTATTAAATGTTGCATTTGCTACATTAGAAATGATCTGTCTAGAAGTAGAATTTCAATTTTGTTTAATATTTCCTTGTTCTTTAAAATCAAATTAGAAATTTGACAATTAATAATCATAAACCAGTCTTTTCTTTTCCAAGTAAAATGCAGGTAAAATAATCAATAATGGTACACCAGTATTTTCCTTTCATATATGGTTAACTCTAAAGTAAAGTGTGAGAAAGTTAAAAGAAGAAAACAAGAAAAGATCGACGGGTGCATTAGTTTAAGTGTATAAAGGGTTAAATCACTTTAATGTTGTTCAAACAGACACTATCTAACCGCTGGGGTTAATATTGATAATAGTAACTGATGCTAAAGACTTTAGCACAGGCCTCAATGCAAGCAACTGCCTAGCTTAGCCTAGCGTAGCGTTTGTTTACAAAGATCGAGGGGGTCAGAGTTCACCCGGAAGTGTTGGTTAAGACTTAGCAACTAAAGCGATCAAGCGAACGTTAGTGGGCGAACCGTGAATTGCAGTTGGTAAGCAGTTTGTTAGAGTTCCATGCAATGTGAGCGCATTTCAATGTTCACAGAACATGTACAGTAACAATCGATCATATTACGGGAAATGTCGGCACATTTCACACTGTTCAAATAAAATACACCACTCGTAGCTGGGTTTACGACTTGGGGCTTCACTCAGATTGTTGAGAGTGATATTAACTTTAAGCACGCGGCGGTGCGCTGTATGAGAACAATGATGATCTCGTCTCTGTCTTTGTGCAGGTTAAGTTTCACACAAAGCAACTGGGTCTAACTTGGTTCAGTTTCGAAAACAAGCTTTACTTGGAAGAAAACTTAAAATAACTTCTATTCAATCGGACGCGCAGTGTTTACAAGATAAATAATTGAACAGACATACACAGAAAAGCATTAACTGTTTATCACGGGAATCACGGACAGTGGGACACGCACTGATCAAATAAAATAAACAGATAAGCATTAAGCATTTATCACGGAGAAAGCAATGAAACACGTGCTGCGATCAGATAAATAATTTAAGGCTTTATGACTAGATTCGACAAGGAACACGCTTTGACGCTCTGTCAGGATGGTCCCCAGCAAACATTTTGACGTTTATTGACCGTTGAAAAGACGTCCATCCGAGACGTCCCGTCATGGTTGAAAAATAGTTCCAAAATGGAAGTTGAACCGACGTCTTCGACGTCATCTGGCCGTGAATTGCACGTCTTTTCTGCGCGTCCACGGACGTCTAAATGGGCTTATTTTTTTTAGTTCTGCAGGATCTTGCTACCTATTGTATGTGTATATATATATATTCCTGCATATAAAATAATTACACCCATATTGTATAAGTTCGTGAAAGTCAATCAATCAGGATTTCTACACATCTGAACTTATAGGTTCTAAAACAGGTCCAAAATCGGTCCGGTCAGACCTGGACGTCTATAAAACCGTTTAAACACGTCTACATCAACACATTACTTCTGGACTAAGGCAAAAGAGTTATAATTTACAACAACATTTTATTGAGAATATTACATTTGAAATGTCTTCCAGTTGTTAAACTGCTAAAAAAATAAAAAATAGTACAATGACATTTTCTGACAGTTGTGACAGTTTCACATTAGGGTTAAGCAGCCATTAATCAAACCAGAATATAACAAAAGTACAGGAACAGTCAACACATTCTATAATATTACAGAAAAGTCGTTCTAAAAATATTCCACCATTGATAAATAGAAGTCAGAGCTGTGGCAGTACTAACTTTCAGTTACTTCAGTCTTGCATTACTGTTAAACAGACATAAATAAAATTATTTAGAGTCTTTGAAATTTGTTTATGGCTTTAATGTTTTGGTTTTGTTTATGGCTATTTTTATATCCAGCTCTTCTTGAGTGTGCTTCAGGTGTTCGCCATTGCTGCATCAACATCTTAATCTGTGGCGTTTGGGCTCCACCTCGTCACAATCACAGCATCTGAGGGAAGAGAATGCGGTTTAAAAAAAGGCTCATTTTTAGGTTAATTACGTACGGTGTTTGAAAATGTCTGAAAATAGCAATGTTATTTTTCTGCATAATAATCTTATGCCAATAAAAGATGTTCTGGACTAAACGCGTTTGAAGAGTGAAATAATTAAAATAAAATTACATTAAGGAACAAGAGATGTATTAAATAAATATTTGTAAAATGTAAATTCAGTTTTGGATAGGACAACCCCATGGCTGGAAAAAAACATTAACGTACATACCCTCACTTCTGTGTTCTCTCCCGAATGCAGCGGTCAAGAGGCAAGACAACATTAGGAAATTCTGTTCATGAAAACATAACAGACTTAAATGAGAGAGTAGTTTAATAAATTAAAAAAAAAAACAGTAAACAATATTGTTTTATTTTAACTAGGCCTACTTTGTGGATGTAGCAAGGATTTAGACATATTGTTATCCAATTCTACCTAGTAAACTATTGTAGCCATATAATGATCATTCATAATGACTAAATCTAAGGTAGCCAACCCTGGTCCTCGAGAGCCTAACTCCTGCTATTTCCAAACTATCCCTGTCCTACTGCTGAGTGCTGACTATTAACGGATTAGGTGTGTTTTCAGAAGCTGCAAGGGCAGGAATAGTTGGAAAACAAGCAGGGTAGTGGCTCTCGGGGACCAGGGTTGGCTACACCTGGTCTGCGCATATTTTAAATTGTGTAATAAGACTGCTGTTCAAATGTTCACTTAACAGTGTAATAATGACTTAGATACCCAGCAAACATTGGTCCGACGGCGACGTCGTGTCCCTGGCCAAAAATAGTTGCGGCCAGGACGTCATAAATCGGTAAAAATATGTAACACAGAAAATTTCCTAAAAATGCATTCAGATGCATTTGTACATGTCTACAGTTGCATGCAAAATAGTTATTTTAAGTTTTAGGTACGTGTAGTTATATACAGTTTATCGGGTGAAAGGACGTCACTTGGCGACGTCTTTTACACGTGCATTTATAGTCCATCATGACCCTCCATGAAATCCTTGTTAAATATGCAAAAGCTGCGCTTAATCCTCGCATGGTTTATACCGCAATAATTAATGTAATTGCCGAAGTAGTTTTTAAGAGGTTGTGAAGACGTCCAATGGCGTCCTTTACACGTCTGGCTGTGAATGTACGTCCACTGGCGTCTTTTGCACGTCTAGTCTAGCCAGGCAGAAAAAAATTATCAGGAACTATCTTTATGAAATACACGATTTGTATACAATGTAAATTATAATCACAAAATGCCCAGTGTAGTCAAGTGATTGCAAAGCCACTGCATTTATTCATGTTGTGGGTCAGTTTTAAGTTGACGTCCAGTAGGTGACGTCCTTTACACGTGCATTTATAGTCCGTCGTGACCCGCAATGAAATCCTTATGAAATATGAAAAAGCAATTATGCTTACACCTTGGCTGATATTGCAGTAAATAATTTAAATGCCCCAAATAGTTTTTACGAGGTTCTGAAGTACAATTACGTCCTCAACCTTTACACTTAACTGTGCTACCGAGATTTGATAACAAATCCGGCGATATGATTGATTATCTCGCGATAAAGCAACTACGCAGCCAATTTCCTGTTTTTTCTTCTTCAACCACGACGAGGCGAGAAGGACTTGATGATCGGGGGCAATTTGTTGTACAAAAAGTTGACGAACTACTACAAATCTGCTGTTTGGTAAGTACATTTTGTATTATTTTATAAATGTGATTTGAGTTTTGTAATTGGACTCAGGAACCGAAATAAATGATGCGTACACCTTCAACTGAAAGGTTTGAGTTTGGATCAAATTAATTTGGCAGAATGTCAGATTGCGACTATTTCTCCGCCGGTGAGAACAGATTTTGTTATAAGTCACGCTTACGCGACCGCAACGTTGCAAAAGTCAAACAAAATGAAAGCGGAACGAATCTGCGAATCGAAAGCGGAACGAATCTTGCGCTACTCCTGCACGGACCCTTTATTGGTTCGGACGATTAAGGATCTTTCATAATATTTCAGGTCCAAGTCAGGTTATGTTTTCCATAAGTGTATCCCAAAACGGCTCTATGATTGACTGTGTGTATATCTTACACTACAATAAAAATTAACTTTTTGTGCAGGTGAGGTAATGCACAATGAAAATAGGCACATATCTGGATGGAGACTATCTGATTCCTCAACCATGGCCTCAGCTTTAAATGTAAAGTATTGACTGTACATTTTTGCACATTTGATTATAAATACTGTCTGTATGCAAAGAATAAATCTTATGTTTTTGATAATATTTGGAATGTAATGTGAGTGTATTATTGTCACTTAGAAGACAGTTAATGTACTCTCTATAAGGCAGTTTTCCAGTTTTGCTCTGTTACAAGTCTCTAACCATACTCTAAAGATGACCAATTTTGTGATCACTTTTGTGAATTTCATTTTTCAATTTGTCTTTTAGGGTGACATAACAAACAGCCATCTGTCAGACGTAGAATTCAGGAATCCTTCTCCAGGCCATCTGGCAGAACCGAAAGAGGCATGGCATTTTTCTTGTTTTATGTCCTTCACAAAGTTTTGTTTGTTTGTTTTGTAATGGTGTTTATTGATTAAGGTGTCTTTACTTACTTAAAATATTTTTCACCCATTTGTTTTTAATGTCTATAGTCACCAGTTCCAAATTCTGCATTATCATCCCAGTCCCAGAGGACACCCCATTGTATGTGAGAACTTTGCTATTTGCATCTTATTTTTTTACACAATTTACATTGAATACAAATATAGAGCCTATGTCTGTCATTGCTCAAGAAAAAGCTAAAGTACAGCCAGCTAATTTCATAGTATCTAAGTCATTATTACACTGTTAAGTGAACATTTGAACAGCAGTCTTATTACACAATTTAAAATATGCGCAGACCAGGTGTAGCCAACCCTGGTCCCCGAGAGCCACTACCCTGCTTGTTTTCCAACTATTCCTGCCCTTGCAGCTTCTGAAAACACACCTAATCCGTTAATAGTCAGCACTCAGCAGTAGGACAGGGATAGTTTGGAAATAGCAGGAGTTAGGCTCTCGAGGACCAGGGTTGGCTACCTTAGATTTAGTCATTATGAATGATCATTATATGGCTACAATAGTTTACTAGGTAGAATTGGATAACAATAAGTCTAAATCCTTGTTACATCCACAAAGTAGGCCTAGTTAAAATAAAACAATATTGTTTACTGTTTTTTTTATTTTTATTTATTAAACTACTCTCTTATTTAAGTCTGTGTTTTATGTTTTCATGAACAGAATTTCCTAATGTTGTCTTGCCTCTTGACCGCTGCATTCGGGAGAGAACACAGAAGTGAGGGTATGAATGTTAATGTTTTTTTTCCAGCCATGGGGTTGTCCTATCCAAAACTGAATTTACATTTTACAAATATTTATTTAATACATCTCTTGTTCCTTAATGTAATTTTATTTTAATTATTTCACTCTTCAAACACATTTAGTCCAGAACATCTTTTATTGGCATAAGATTATTATGCAGAAAAATAACATTGCTATTTTCAGACATTTTCAAACACCGTACGTAATTAACCTAAAAATGAGCCTTTTTTTAAACCGCATTCTCTTCCCTCAGATGCTGTGATTGTGACGAGGTGGAGCCCAAACGCCACAGATTAAGATGTTGATGCAGCAATGGCGAACACCTGAAGCACACTCAAGAAGAGCTGGATATAAAAATAGCCATAAACAAAACCAAAACCTTAAAGCCATAAACAAATTTCAAAGACTCTAAATAATTTTATTTATGTCTGTTTAACAGTAATGCAAGACTGAAGTAACTGAAAGTTAGTACTGCCACAGCTCTGACTTCTATTTATCAATGGTGGAATATTTTTAGAAAGAATTTTCTGTAATATTATAGAATGTGTTGACTGTTCCTGTACTTTTGTTATATTCTGGTTTGATTAATGGCTGCTTAACCCTAATGTGAAACTGTCACAACTGTCAGAAAATGTCATTGTACTATTTTTATTTTATTTTTATTTTTTTAGCAGTTTAACAACTGGAAGACATTTTAAATGTAATATTCTCAATAAAATGTTGTTGTAAATTATAACTCTTTTGCCTTAGTCCAGAAGTAATGTGTTGATGTAGACGTGTTTAAACGGTTTTATAGACGTCCAGGTCTGACCGGACCGATTTTGGACCCGTTTTAGAACCTATAAGTTCAGATGTGTAGAAATATCCTGATTGATTGACTTTCACGAACTTATACAATATGGGTGTAATTATTTTATATGCAGGAATATACACATACAATAGGTAGCAAGATCCTGCAGAACTAAAAAAAAATAAGCCCATTTAGACGTCCGTGGACGCGCAGAAAAGACGTGCAATTCACGGCCAGATGACGTCGAAGACGTCGGTTCAACTTCCATTTTGGAACTATTTTTCAACCATGACGGGACGTCTCGGATGGACGTCTTTTCAACGGTCAATAAACGTCAAAATGTTTGCTGGGTACTATGAAATTAGCTGGCTGTACTTTAGCTTTTTCTTGAGCAATGACAGACATAGGCTCTATATTTGTATTCAATGTAAATTGTGTAAAAAAATAAGATGCAAATAGCAAAGTTCTAACATACAATGGGGTGACCTCTGGGACTGGGATGACAATGCAGAATTTGGAACTGGTGACTATAGACATTAAAAACAAATGGGTGAAAAATATTTTAAGTAAGTAAAGACACCTTAATCAATAAACACCATTACAAAACAAACAAACAAAACTTTGTGAAGGACATAAAACAAGAAAAATGCCATGCCTCTTTCGGTTCTGCCAGATGGCCTGGAGAAGGATTCCTGAATTCTACGTCTGACAGATGGTTGTTCATTATGTCACCCTAAAAGACAAATTGAAAAATAAAATTCACAAAAGTGATCACAAAATTGGTAATCTTTAGAGTATGGTTAGAGACTTGGAACAGAGCAAAACTGGAAAACTGCCTTATAGAGAGTACATTAACTGTCTTCTAAGTGACAATAATACACTCACATTACATTTCAAATATTATCAAAAACATAAGATTTATTCTTTGCATACAGACAGTATTTATAATCAAATGTGCAAAAATGTACAGTCAATACTTTACATTTAAAGCTGAGGCCATGGTTGAGGAATCAGATAGTCTCCATCCAGATATGTGCCTAATTTCATTGTGCATTACCTCACCTGCACAAAAAGTTAATTTTATTATAGTGTAAGATATAAACACAGTCAATCACAGAGCCGTTTTGGGATATTATGTTATGCAAAACATAACCTGACTTGGACCTGAAATATTAAAGATCCTTAATGGTCTGAACTAATAAAGGATCCGTGCAGGAGTAGCGCAAGATTCGTTCCGCTTTCGATTCGCAGATTCGTTCCGCTTTCATTTTGTTTGACTTATGCAACGTTGCGGTCGCGTAAGCGCGACTTATAACAAAATCTGATCTCACCGGCGGAAAAAATGGTCGCAATCTGAAATTCTGCCTAGTTAATTTTATCCAAACTCAAACCTTTCAGTTAAAAGTGTACGCATCATTTATTCCGGTTCCTGAATCAAATTACAAAGCTCAAATCACATTTATAAAATAATACAAAATGTACTTACCAAACAGCAGATTTTTGTCAACTTTTTGTACAACAAATTGCCCCCGATCATCAAGTCCTTCTCGCCTAGTCGTGGTTGAAGAAGAAAAAACAGGAAATTGGCTGCGTAGTTGCTTTATCGCGAGATAATCAATCATATCGCGGGATTTGTTATCAAATCTCGGTATCACAGTTAAGTGTAAAGGTTGAGGACATAATTGTACTTCAGAACCTCGTAAAAACTATTTGGGGCATTTAAATTATTTACTGCAATATCAGCCAAGGTGTAAGCATAATTGCTTTTTCATATTTCATAAGGATTTCATAGCGGGTCACGACGGACTATAAATGCACGTGTAAAGGACGTCACCTACTGGACGTCAACTTAAACCTGATCCACAACATGAATAAATGCAGTGGCTTTGCAATCACTTGACTACACTGGGCATTTTGTGATTATAATTTACATTGTATACAAATCGTGTATTTCATAAAGATAATTCCTGATAATTGTTTTCTGTCTGGCTAGACTAGACGTGCAAAAGACGCCAGTGGACGTATATTCACAGCCAGACGTGTAAAGGACGCCATTGGACGTCTTCACAACCTCTTAAAAACTACTTCGGCAATTACATTAATTATTGCGGTATAAACCATGCGAGGATTAAGCGCAGCTTTTGCATATTTAACAAGGATTTCATGGAGGGTCATGATGGACTATAAATGCACGTGTAAAAGACGTCGCCAAGTGACGTCCTTTCACCCGATAAACTGTATATAACTACACGTACCTAAAACTTAAAATAACTATTTTGCATGCAACTGTAGACATGTACAAATGCATCTGAATGCATTTTTAGGAAATTTTCTGTGTTAAATATTTTTACCGATTTATGACGTCCTGGCCGCAACTATTTTTGGCCAGGGACACGACGTCGCCGTCGGACCAATGTTTGCTGGGTCTGACTCTAAGAAGACATAAGCTGTGTCCCAATGTGAAGGCTGCATCCTCCGAAGTCCGTATTTGAAGGACGGTTGGCCGTATTTGAAGACCGATTGCGTCACAGCCGCGCGACGAAGTACGTCCCAATTCAAAGGCTGCATCCGCGAAGGCCGCATTTAAAGGCCGATTGCGTCATCGCGGTGGGATGAAGGCTGTCCCAATTCAGTTATGCATCCTCCGAAGGCCGTATTCGAAGGCCGGTTGCGTCATTGCAGCGCGACGAAGGCTTACCTAATTCAAAAGCGACGCCAAATGCACCCTTCATTTCCCCGTGAAAGGAAGGATACATAAATGGACACTTCGCGGACTATCCTACCCGATCCTACCCCATAAATCATTGCGCGGGTGACGACAGCATTTTTATTTAAAAAAAGGGTGGCCGAGAGTTCAGTGGTGGACGGCAAATTCACATTTAAATGTAAAAGTATTATGTTTTTATTTACTCAAATAGCCAGAGAAACCAGTGTTAAGAGCCAAAAGTTTTTTTTTTGGTTTGTTTTTTTTCGTTTTTTTTTCTTCTTATTATTCATCTTAACTCATTCGTCAGCATTGCATGGTTTTGTCAAGTGGAAATGCGAAAACGGCTTTTATAGCCTTGTATTGCATTTCTTGTACATTGTATTTCTTTATTATTCATTATTTCATTATTTTATGCAACTTTAAATGTGTACACAAAAGAGAATTCATGGCTCTGGATATTTGTTTATTTTTGTAAGGGTCTGTGCAAGGTTGATACATTTAAACTATAATATACTTTTGTTGTGTCGTTTAAAGTAAAATGTGTAGTGTTGTGGTCCTGTGAGGGAAAAGGGTAGGCTTCTTCACATTTGTACATGAATACTATCGCAGTATGAAGTTCCTTACATTCTCCCACTGGTTATTTTAAAAATTAAAGTAACAAATTGTTGGTCCATTGTCACAATATTAACAAATTGTTGCTAACTTCAACTTCGTCCCATATCAAAGTGCGCACCTGAAGCGCTCGGACCGGTCTAGCCTGCGGAGGATTGTTCTTGTCGCCTAGCAACTGTGACTGACAGCTGACGACGACGAGCGGGAGTAACGACGTTTGCACTGGACTTTTTATATTTGGTTTAAAATATTCAAATAGGATTGACAGCCTGTATAAATATATTCACCATGGTCCATTTAGACAATAAAAAGAAAACCCTACAAAATCGTATGGTACGATTAACATTTAAATAGGCTATTGGCTATATATGTGCCTATGTTTTATCATTATTATTTTTTAGGCTATTTCATTACAATATTTACGTAGGTTAACACCCAATATTTGAACAGTTTACAGTGTAATCTGGCTATTCAGGACGCAGCCTCTAGCATTAAACCAGCTCTGGCCAACTCTTGAGCCGAAAATACGTGACTCGAAATATTTTTTTAGTGGTTATGTGAATTGAAATTATGTGATTTTATATATATTGCCCCTCATTTAAAGACAGGAAAATATAAAACATAAAATTTCCAGTAAAATATAAAACAACAAAATGACAATAGCCTTTCTCCATAGCTGTTTACTCAGTTTCATTAAATGAATGATCAGGGTGGCAGCTGTACTCTCGCTCCGTTGCTTGGCGCCAGGAGCAGTAATAGGGAACACCTGGTTGCGCAATTAGGAAATCCCACGAAGGCTACATGAAGCGTCCTTCGAAGGCCAAATAGACTGCATCCTTCGAAGTCTACAGCCTTCGAAGTACGCAGCCTTCACATTGGGACACAGCAATTGTTAATCCAAAGTGTTCTTCACTTTACAATAAGGTTCGTTAGTTAACATTAGTTAACTACATTAGTTAATATGAACTAATAATGAATAGCACATATACAGCATTTGTTAATCTTTGTTAATGTTATGTTAATGTAATGTTCAACATTTACTAATACTTGATTAAAATCTTGTTAACATTAGTTAATGCACCGTGAACTAACATGAACAAACAATGAACAGCTGTATTTTCATGAACTAACATTAACAAAGATGAACAAATGCAGTAACACATGTATTGCTCATGGTTAGTGCATGTTAGTAAATACATTAACTAATGTTAACTAATGAACCTTATTGTAAAGTGTTACCGTGTTCTTGTAGGTAGAG